TGTAGGAGCAAAGAGACACGGGAGACACTGCTGGTCCTCTCCGATTTGGATCCTGGTACATCTTATGAAGGTCATATCACAACGGTATCAAACGGAAGGATGAGTGAACCTTATCGTATTACATTTGCTACAGGTATGGCAACATCATTGGGAACGCTCTATAATGCTTTTAGGTACAAGTGGCCAAAGTTACAGGTTAAGAAAACACAGCTGCAATTATCAACCCGAGTTACTTATGTATTTAGTGGTTTCTGTTGTTTGTAAAATGTTCTGACCGTGTCAAAATATCAATACAGACATGTAATACTTTAAAACGTCTCCTTTTTTCAAGACCCGGATGTACCTTTAGATTTTACACGGATAGACAGAGGTTCGAACCACGTGGACGTAAAATGGAGCAAACCACAAGGTTTATTTGACCATTTTAATGTTGGATGGCGTTTACCAGATGAGGAGGAGGAATACGAAACCAGAGATACAACAAAAACAGATCATACAATTGCTGGCTTATCGCCTGGCACCCAGTATGAAATCAGTGTTTCTTCCGTCAGTAACGGGAAGAAAAGTGAACCCTTTCCCATTGATGTGCAGACAGGTGGGATGCTTTTTGACTTTTATTAATTCATTCTCTCAAATACTCTATAGTGTGTTTCCTCCATTTGGTTTTCATTTACGGTTTAAATTTACAGACTAGTACGGTGACCTGAAATTTGACACTTTCTGCACTCATATGGTAAAAATTTTCATTTTTAATGTACAAGACCCAGCTTCGATAACAGCAATTGACACTGAACCTGGCGATTTACGGTTTAAATTTACAGACTAGTACGGTGACCTGAAATTTGATACTTTCTGCACTCATATGGTAAAAATTTTCATTTTTAATGTACAAGACCCAGCTTCGATAACAGCAATTGACACTGAACCTGGCGTTAATAGCATCACATTGAAATGGAAACGGCCTGAAGGCAAAGTTGATGGATACCAGTTACAATTAAATGACCCCATTGATCCACAAGAGGGAAAGATTTACCCTATTGGAGAGACAGAAGAAGCAGAAATATTTGAGCTAACTCCAGGAACAACATACCTTGCCAAGCTATTTACCATGCGAAATGGCCAAAGAAGCAAACCTTATTGTTTCAAGTGCTCAACAAGTGAGCGCTTACTACTCAATTGTTCATTTTCAAAGCACCACATTGCCTGTTTCACGATCAATTATAAACTGAAATGAGGACAACTTTCCTCTAATTAATATGACATTTAAGGAAGTGGTTGTAATCTTGTAAATATAGTGTACATTTTACATCTTAAACGTAGCTCGAACACAGGTTAAATTATACCAAAGCCTAGGTGTTATTTGAATATCTTACGTGTATATTAACATTTTTATATAATTTTTACTTTAGAACCATCAAAGTGCACTCCAGAATGCACTGACATGGGCACCAGGTCTCTGAAAATAAAGTGGGAACCGGCTATAGGTGATGTTCGGTACTATGAGATACAACTAAAAAAACAAGGTGAACATGTCCGATCTAAGAAAATCCCTCGAGACAATGACACAGAGGTCACATTTGACGAACTGCTTCCGGGGTCTGAGTATGAGGTGATAGTTGTCACGGTAGCAGCGAATGCAGACAAACAGAGTGACTGTCGACTTGTTTACACAGGTATTTAAAAATTGATGTAAATCTTTTTTCTATTTAGATATCCATATTAGTTTCGAACACAATCTTTATATTACGTCTTTAATAGTCATTTATGAACATGTCCATCCGATAAGTTTACAACAGCAAAATTTTAATGTTATTTGTGTCAACAAACAGATCCAGACATAGTTGGTGAAATCAAGGCAGACGTGCAGGAAACATCAGCAAAACTTTCATGGGTACCTCCATTTGGAAATTGGGATGATTTTAAGGTTTCTATCTGGAAAAACAACAAACAGGATAAAACTGATGCACATGCAGATTCGTGTGCTTTAAATTTAACCAACCTGGACCCTGGAGAAGAGTATTTTGTGGGGATCACAACTGTGGCCAACAGTAAAAAAAGCAAAGAACAGACATCAACCTTTGTCACAGGTATGTGCTTCCACACAACTCGTTAACCTGGACTCTCCGTGATGTATTACACTCCATGAATATGAATATCCCCACAGTCATATTTATATTCTGTAATGTTTCCTACCGTATATTTCCTTATCCGGAATTTAAAGACAGTGCAACCCTTTAACAAACGCTTTTTTCTGAAGTGTTTCTAGCCTCGTTGATTTCTATTAAGCATTCTCAGCAGCTCGCAATGTTTTGCACACAGCGTAAACTCTCGATGCCGAGTTAATTTCTTGTGAATAAACGAGACTATGGCAGTGAAGGGTAAGTAGACACATGTCTATTGGAATGACTGGTATGCCATTTAGAAACAAATTATAAGATAAAAAATGGAGTTTTACATTGAAGAAAGTTCTCCGGTTCTACATTTCACGCACGGGAGACTGAAAATAATTAAAGAAATATTTGTATAAACGTGACTTGATTTTTCATTCTACGTTTTGCATTACCCAGTGCCAGCCATGATAAGTGAGGAGAGCATCCACGTGACAGAGAGGGTGACGACTTTTGCACTGAAATGGGCTCCACCTGAGGGTCGAGTTGACGAATATGCCATTTCAGTTAAACAGGAAAACCAAGATTCATACCATCCAAGTTTAAAGTCATCTAGACCGGAGGCAGTGATCCCTAACATCACCCCAGGAATTAGCTACACAGTTGAGATTCAGTCCTGCAGTTACAAAATCCAAAGTGAACCATGCCGCATTCAGTTAAGAAAATGTAAGTAGGGAAATTCAATTTTTTGCAACCACAACATAACTTAGAAAACAATGTGGTCATCGATTGATGATGTACTATTGGACGTATATAGCATTGTCTTAGTAAATATTAAATCCACGTGAGTAAGCCTGATGTCGTGCATTACATTAAAACATCAATGTTGATAAAAAGGTTACACAGGTGACCGAATGTAGTAGAATACTTATATCTAATTAGATATAATTAAAACAACTCTCAAAACTTGATCCCCATTAATTTGATCCCCATTTCCCCCAATAAATTAGTAAATTAATAAATTATTTAGCATTTTCCCTAGTTGCCTTTCAATTCTTAATCATACCATATTTTGTTCCAACCTAAAATTAAAGCTACTGCGCCACCCACGCTGCCAAGAAATGGAGTTACTGTCACCAACAACAAAATAACATTGAGCTGGGACCTTCCAAAAGGAAAGTTTGAAAATTATCAGATATTTTACAAAAAACAAAAGGATGATGGTGTTGATGATAACACTGGAATATGGAATTATCTTAGTGCTGGGAAAACGTATGTGATAAACGATCTGGAACCGAGCACTCATTACACCGGTTGGGTCAAAACTCTATCCAAATGGAGAACCGAGAGTGAACCTGTCAACTTCGATTGTTTTACAGGTTTTTACACCAGTTTTTATCTATGCCAAGAAGGTTATCTTTGAGTTTGCCTACTTTTCTATCTATTAGTAACATTGTACAAAATGTACAGTCGGATTTCGATAAAGATATCAGGATGGGTCAGATAGAGTCAACTTAAAATCAATTTCAATTGATGATTTTAAAAATGTGATGCTGAGGCATGTGTTCGCTGAGTGCCTTTCTGGTTGAAAGTTTAGTTTTAATCACGTACGCAGTCAATGCATTCTACATGTATTATTATGTCAAACCGGCGCAATTTTAATGTCCAAATTGTTATTCCATAGAACCAGAGCCTCCACAAGATTTCTCTTGCCTCCAAGATAGCAGACAAACAACACAGTTTACATTAGAATGGAAGGCGAGTAGAGGAGATATAGAAGGGTACACACTGAACATCAGGGACACAGATGGCAATGAGATCCAGTATAAACTAGAACCGGAGACCACCACGTATAAAGTAGAGGATTTGATACCCGGCATGATGTACCGTTGCAAAATCTCCACCACTTCAAAGGCCGGCGTGAGTAGCAGCCACGTGGAATGCCGGGCAAGCACAGGTTAGACAGTACAGATGATTGATCCCTTTGATTTAAGACTGACTGTGCAGCAAAGATAACGAAAAAAACATACATTTACATAATTGCATTTTACAAAACGTGTGCATATTATTATTATTATTATTATTATTATTATTATTATTATTATTATTATTATTATTATGTTTTTTTTTTATGAAAATGAAATGCATATATGTGGTAACGCTACTTTTCATCAGTTCCAGAGGTTCCGAAAGCAGAGTTCATCACGATTAAACCCCAAGATGGTTCATATGTGGTGTTTTGGGAAAGGCCACTCGGGATTTTTAAAGAAATGTCCCTTAAATATTCCCCTACCGACAATAAGAAAGATTCGAAAATAGTAACGGCAAAAGTGAGTCCGTCTCCGCCACTTTCCGTCAGCCATGGAACTGTGTATGATTTGCACGCTTTTTCTGTGACAGATCATGACAAAAGCGATCCATGTATTCTAAAGTTTACAACAGGTATGATTTTCTTGCATTGAGACAACTGCAAGTTGCATTTTTTATATCATATTCTTCAATTTTGTTATTCACCATATGTATAATAGGATTTTAGCCCAAAGTTTGACTAAGCAATTGTGATACTAATGATACTGTTTGGTTACAGAGTTAACCGAAAAATGTTAAAACAGCAGAGACTCGGGGCTCAATTTGACCATTGAACTAGATGTTTTATATAATTACACAATATTTTTATAAGGTTTTGAATAATGAGAAAACCTGGTTATATAAATTTGGCTTTTGCAGCGCCAACCAAACCAGCACTGTGTTCCCAAATGGACATTAAGTCAACTTCAGTCGCCATTAGTTGGGAACCGGTACAAACTTCATGTAATTATGAGGTGTCTTGTGAGCAAGCTGGCACAATAATCAGGGACCCTAAAACAACTACAGATTGTATATATTGGCTGAATGATCTCCTACCGGCCACCAAGTATGACGTCAAAATAGTGACATGTGTACAGAACCATGAAGGGAAAACGCTGAAGAGTGATACAAGCCAGTGCACAATATGGACCAGTAAATATATTCGCGCTTAATATTAAATGACAATTCAGTTTAGCCAAATTATCTGACTTTAAACATGAACCACAGAACTCAAAGACAATGCATTTTATCAAGTTCTCTTTTGTTTTCACTATACCCTCTGTGTGGCATGTCAGAATATATTACAATCATCCTATTGTGATAATTAATACACCTATTTTTAGATCCATCAATACCAACAGATTTTGAACAAATATGGTCAGAGAAGAACACGAAAAGACAAAAAAACTCGTTCAAGCTTAAATGGGCCACACCAAAAGAAGATATCCACCACTTTGAAATCATCTGTGACATTGATGGAGTTGGGCTTAATCCTGTACATGTCAAGGGCGGCAGAAGGACTGCTGAAATAATTGGATTAGAGGCTGGAACTAGATACAACTGCAGTATTTCGGCTGTTTTGCGCAATGGACAGATTAGTGATAGGGCTAAGTGTATAGCTTACACAGGTATCTACAATTTTTATGTTAGAATATTTGTTAAATGAGAGTATAAACCTTATCCTTGCCTACTATCCATAAAAAGGGTATACACAACTGCTATTTCATTGAAGCATTAACCATATGTGAGATAAAGCGATTGGCAAGACCTTTCAATCTATAAAGGCTGAATATAACTACACGTAATTAACACATAACTTGTTTACTTAACAGCCCCAGGTAGTCCACTGAACATGGTACAGACGAAAGCAAGTACCAACGGTTTATACTTGCGCTGGATGCCAGCTTCAGGAGGTCAAAGTTCAGGAGGTCAAAGTTATGTTATTAGGTACAGGAGTATTCAAGAAACAGGTACCAACAAACAAGACAGCGACAATGCTGAAACACAAACCATACAACTTACACAGAAAAGTGGCAGTGATAAACCAGCGCGTGAAGAAAGTCAAGTTTTACTAGATAATGCCGAAGAAACAGCAAGCGATTCAAGATATGAAAAGATCACAACTGTGCAGGACAAGTACAATTTAGAAAACCTTGTTCCAGGCACTAATTATGAGATCCGAATTTTTGCGATAGCTCACGATTATCCTAGTTTGCCACTGGAGCTGGAACAAGCGACTAGTAAGTTTTAATATTTCACACATGTCCTTCTTAAAATTGTATATTTCCTTATGAACATCGTGATATAATTTTCACTTGTGGATGGGAACAAGAGGCAAATTTTGGCACTAGCCAAATTTAAATACATTTAAATTTAAATACATTTAAACAAAAAAAAAGAAAAAGCGAACAGAAAAATGACACACTAGACGTTTACTTCAGCTAACAACCATTCGCACATTTAATGATTTAATTGTAATGTTTCTATGCAATATCGACATATCCCATTTAGTGAGACATCCAATTGAATTATACCCCCAATTGGACATGGCTTGCCGTCTAACTCGAAATGGGTGTAGCTCCCCGCCTATGCTGTCTCTGAACTTGGTGTTTTTATGTCTCCTCCATCCCAGTGCATCACAAACTTGCATAGTCCCGTTCATAGCAAAAGAGAATGCAACAAAGACTATCGGGTGTTCGTGATTTGGCCAAACAAGGCCGCTTTTATTATATAAACTCACTATCCTAATAATTTTAACAATAATAACAATGTGGCAAATTGTTGCCTGCATTAAATGTTATGGCCTTAGGGATAAAAATAAAATATGAAATATTAAATAAAACTCATCATCCTAAAAATAATGATGTGACGAGTCAGCAAAAGTTATCATTTTCAAGCAATTTTGCACAAATTTCGTTTTTGGGGTGTTTTTGTCACTGTTTATAGAAAAGAATCGGACAATGTTAACTTTTTACGACAATTGAAACGTATGTTTAGTTTGATAAACTACATGGAATTTCAATCAAATGTTATCGTTACGGGTATGTTGGAAATATCAAAGCATGTTTATCTTGCTGTAAATTATTTGTAAGCCATGCAGGTATAATTGTACATGATATCATACTGAGATATTGCAGAACATTCATTGTAAGCAAGATAGTATGTGCAATTTACACATAAATACTTTCATTCCAGAGCCCGGGAAACCTGGGGAAGTCACCATAGAGAAGACGCTCTTTGCAGAATTAATATCATTGTCTTGGGGTGAGAGTGAAGGCAATGTCACTGGATATGAAATAGAATACGGAAGAGACGACAACACCACTAGACAACCACTGAAATCAAGTGCTTCGAATTGCACCATCGATAACATATTGCCGGGTGTAAATTACAGCTATAAAGTGTACGCTGTAAGTAACGGGAAGAGAGGCGATCCTTCTCATTTTATTGCGGCCACAGGTAAAAATTTCATATTTACAACTAACATCAAAGTATTCACTACAAAAGCCATATGCAAAACAGTGGTGGTTATTTTACAGAAGTAACCATGATTTATTAATCGTATTTGGGGATAGAAGTATAATAATATTTGATATTTACATTATGCTTTGAGGCATTGATGATGCTTTTCTAAAAAATAATAGTTACAGTGATTCACCATATACGCACTCGATTCTCTTAGCTGTTATTTCTGATATAAAATGCTATCATCAGCAAAAAAGTACATGTATATAGTGTTTATTTCAATTACAGATCTACCGTGTCCTGAAAATTTCAAAACGGTCGAAAGCAAGTCAGCCACACGTTCAATTGAATTACAGTGGGATGCACCACCCTCTGGTGCTGACGGTTCTTGGTCATATGTGGTAAAACATCGTCGTTTTGGATCTTCTGACAAATACCAAAATGAACAGAAGGTTTCAGCTCAAAAGGTGCAAGTTAGTGGATTAGTTCCCGGCAGAGAGTATGAATTTTCCCTTCAAGTAACTGGATGGAAAGACGCAGTTGGTTACTCTACAAGCACTGAAGTGTTCTGCACAGGAGCAACAGGTACACACACTTAATATCTTTATACACATAACGCATCTTTTGAGCATGATAAACATCAAATGAATTGTCTCAGTTTAACCTTTTGGTACAAGAATGGCTTGAAACATACCCCTGTCCATGGGGTTCTTTACGACCCCGTGGCACAATTAACGAAATACCAATATTTTTTGTAGCTACATAACAAAATCGTTTGTTTTTAATCAAGAAATAGTTACAATGCACATTGATAGCGAGCTACAATGCAATATAATCTAACCTAGGTGATCAAGAACAAACATTTTCTTAGATAAAGTAAATGCTTTTTTCAGATCATTTTTTTTCTTTGTCCTCAGCTCTAGTTCCGATGATATATCTCTACAAAACTAGTACCATGTATCATATCAGCCATTCTAAAGTGATTAAACAGGAACAATGTTGGTATATTATTTCAAAAAAGGAAATAAATAAGTAAAGCCACACGGCATGGTGTGCAGTCTGCTCAAGACAGGAGCAACTGTAGTAACAGGTGCCGTTACAGCTAGTTTGGATAATAAACACTTGCACTTTAAATGTTACCATGCTTTGTACTTCGTAAACGTGGTCCTCGTCTTCATTATCAGCCTGTTACACCCAAATCACTGTCATCTGTTGAATTCTTCCACTCTAAGATATTTTGTATTTTTCCATTATTCAAATATTTTGTTGCTCTGTATTTGCTTGTCACATGTCAATCTGACATTTATTTGAATGGAATTTAAAGAATAAAAAAATATCATTACAAGTAGTCTAAATTGTGGAAATTTGGTGGGGACTCGAGACTGACACCACCAGTTATAGATAGCTTAAGCACAGACACGTTTCGTAAATATATAATTAGGCTATATTGCTTCTTGGAAGATACCAAGTTGTTGCATACGAAGTGATTGTACATGTTTTTGCCTTGGATGTAATATGAAAAGATTATAAAGCAGTAGGTGCGATTTCTAGTTTTAGATTATTGATGCAAATTTGATCAGTTCTTAAAGGGATAATAACTCTTCGTTTCGGCCAAAAAATGAATTTTCCTGGAGTAAACAACAATTTTCCCATACTTACCAATGATTAATGAATCCATTTTTACATTCAAAGTTAGTCCCTGGGTTTTTTCTTAAAAGTTTGATTTTTTGTTAAAATCTCTTAAGAGATTTTAACAGAGTATAGCCATCAATGGAGGTCACGTGGTCTAAAGACAAGCTCAGATATCAGAATAATAGCTATAACTGTCGTTTTTGTGGTAAAACAGAATATATTATATTTCTATGAGTTATTCACAATGTTTTTATTGTGAAATATAGATATCATACGAAGAGTTATTATCCCTTTAATTGCTATGGCTTTCTCTTCTATATTCTATATTCTCTATTCTGGATGCATATGCAAATTATTCAACACCACATGGCTAATGTTTAGCTTAATTGGACGCAATGATCCAAGTTTATTTACAGTTTATGGTCAAAGCAATGGACAGAAGTGGTTGGTTTTGCAGTTATAGACTCTGCCATTAATACACTTGTGTTATTCGTAGATCCAGAAGAAGTCCACGACCTGACGTGGGATACGTCCTCCAATACACTTACTTGGGAAAGACCAGACGGTGATGTTGACAGCTATGATGTTACAGTCCAAACGGGAACGGATATTAAACCATATCACACAACTACCTGTAGTCAAACATTGCAAGATGTTAAAAAAGGAGAACCTTATGTTTTCAGTGTCGTTGCGATAAGCAATGGCAAGGCAAGCAAAAAGGTTTCCAAAAACCAAACGATAGGTATGTATTTTAGAGTACTGTTTATAGTTAACCATTCTACTTACTCCAAATATTCTTGACATAGGCACTCTGCCTCTGTGAACACTATAACTATGTATTTTCACATCAAAGATGCTCCTATAGCCCCTAGATAATACATTCAAAAGCATGTCATTTATTGTAACGTATGTACATGTTATGGCGACATATTTAATTTCTAGCACCTGGCACCCCTGAATTTGAAAAGGAAAAGACATCGGTGACATCAACCTCAGTCACCCTTCACTGGACTCTGCCTGGTGGGAAAGTAAAGCAGTACGCATTACATCATCAACCTGTGGATGAAGACATGAATTTGGTCACACGATGGTGGAACAAGAAAACAGACACCGTCAAAACGCGTTGTAAGACACTGGAGAACCTTACGCCAGGAATAAAGTACCGCTTTGAAGTGTTCGCTGAGGTAGATGGTGCCAGAGACGAGAAGGGTGATGTCATAGAAGTTGTAACAGGTATGTTGCGTTTGTTCACATGTAGCTACCTTTTGTTACTATTTTTTTTTTAATTATTCCACCCCATGATCTGCACAAGCAAAAAAAAAGAAAAGAAAAGAAATAACAGCTTGCCAAAGTCACGCCTCATACCACGTGAAGGGTGAAACTTGCATGGTGTCATGCAGGAACTTCATTGTTAAAATAAGTGATACAGATTCACTACCGCACGAAACATTCATTAACTGCATTATTATACAATGTACAGTGCCGCCGGAAAGTCACCTTACCAAAAGGCCGCATGGACACCCAACCTGCCCCGTATGATCGAACAACAGAGGTACCGGTACTCACTGGTCGTTTATGAAGTCCAGATAGGCAATCTTATTAATAATAATAATAATAATAATAATAATAATAAATTTATTTTAAGTCTAAAATCCATTTAAAATGTTCAGTAGACTTTACATAAAATATCAATATCAGTAGACTTTACATAAAATATCAATATTATTGACACGTGTCGGTTGATTGATGGTTAGGTAAAATTGAATAGTTTAAGAGTGAAGAGTGCCATCACAAAGTTAACATTAGTTTAGGACGACACGTGTTACACAGTTGTGATTGTGTAGCAGTCAGAGCTTAATCACCGTGTTTACCTGACAAGCATAAACTGAACTGACAGTTAATTATTTTGAGATGACACATGCCAAACAGTGAAGTTGACCCAAGAGATGGTAATCCTTTAGGTATTAAGAAGGCTTTTGATTAATTCTGGGGTTTAGATCGTAAACATGAACTGTTTTTATCGTTTTGAACTACACAGGTACACAGTTAAAATGAAACAACCAAAGAGGGACGTTTTGTATCAAAATTTAAGCTATCTAATTTATTTTAATAATATTTTATGCGTATTTAAATAAAATTCTAAATCTAATTCGAAGTCATCATACAGACCGTTTAATGTACCTGTTTATTTTCAAATGGGACATTTTAAAAGCAAATAAGTTGGAAGCAGGCATCATTAACAAATTCATGCACACCTGGACTGTACCCCTTTACGACAAAATAGAAATTGTTCAATGGCTTCTTTCTTTTATGTATAGGACAAAATAGATATTGTTCAATGGCTTCTTGCGTTCTGGTATGTATATTGCCCTGGACTTCTCTTGGTCTACACACTGTTCACATAGAATATGCTATAGTCACACATATCATCATGGCAACAAGACAAGAGAAGTTTAAATGTGTTTATAATATGTATATAAGAATGACGATTTGAAGCCTAATAAACGTTACCGGCCGATTTCATAAAGGAGGTTTAACTAAACCTAGTTTAAGGCTAAAACCTAGTCTAGCAAAACCTGGTCTAACTCAAGACCTAAATTGCATTTCACTAACAGTGTAGGAAAGCCAGAAAACCAGGTTTAGCTAAACCAGTTTTAACTTGTCCTTGACCTCCTCTTGAACGTAACAGGATTACATAGACAAAGAAATCACTGAACTGTGTCAATCAGGTAGGCGTAAATGAACAGATGACACACACTAGCGTTGAAGCAGATAAGCTGTGTAGCTCATATGAGAAAAAACTTTGGAAGTAAAGAGCACGTGAAAATGAGCCGAAAGAGAGCGGAGAATGTTTCTGCTGAAGAGAAGGGATACATCTCAGAGCTAATAAAGGAGAAGTCCAACATCATTGAATCAAAGAAAGCTCCGGTGAAATGTTGCGATTTCTCAATATATAGGGTGCTAATCGATCCTCTATCAGTGCTATGACCTCACGTGCTATTTCTTTAGAAATTCTGAACCTGATTTTGAAATCTTTTTCATCATAGAAATCAAAATAATTAACCCTTGCTCGAAAAATGCGTCGGCGACGCTCGGGGTGTCTTCTTGCGTCCAAATCGTTAAGTGCTCGAATATCACGCAAGTCTACGTCAGCCATCTTTTTTCCAAGCTACAGAGTTAAACCTGGGTCTGACCAGGTTTATTTTTAGACTTGGTCCGAGTCCATAATCCGGGTTTCAAAAACTTAGACCTCAATTATGAAACACTAACCTGTCTAGACCAGGTTTAGAATGATGTTAAGCCAGTTTTTACTAGACCACTGGTCCAATACTAAAGCCTCCTTTGTGAAATGCAGGCAATTCCTTAACCTGGTGTAAACTCACTTTAGACCAGGTTTAACTTTAAACCTCCTTTATGAAATCGGCCGTACATGTACAAGAACAAGAAGCGTTTTATTTAGTCTTTCATTAATTCATTTATTCAACGCTATGTCAATTTAATCAGTTCATAGCTAAAATACACACGAAAGTTGCTTTCATCACCGAATTTTATTTGGTATGGTCTCTTTTAAAAATCATTGTTGGCAAGTTCTTATACTCAAAATCTCCGTATTAGAATAGACTGATCAAAGAAGAGTGAAGCCGTCGCTCACTAAAGGTCAATTAACGCTTGAACGATCACTTTTTTGCGACCATGCTCAGCTTCGATCTTTATCTCACGAGCTAGGGTTAAGCTCTTTTGTTATCAAAAAGTTAGACAACCCAGCAGACAAATGTCATTGATTCACCGTTGAATCAACGTTAATTTTGGTGGATCAACGTTGAATCAACGTAGAATTAATGTCGTTTGCCTGCTGGGAAGATAATCACCCTAGGGGCAGGGCATGCTACTATTGTTAAAAGAAACCAAACAGCGCATGGATGACAATGTTAAACCCATGGTTACGGGGCCAGACCGTATAAACAACCCGCAGGGACCCGCAGAGAAAGTAAGGTAACTTCCCGACGGGCCTGTATCCCTTTTAGACACATTGTAGATATGGGCATTTCTACACCGACTGTCGCTTTTTATGTTCCAGAGCCTGAAAAGCCGACCATTGATTGCGACCTGGCTAGCGAAACCCTTGTCTTACTCTCCACATGTACTGGCAGGAAGGATCGCTATGAAGTTACATATAAATCCAGCTATGATAACAAGAAAGAAAGTAAATACTTTGTTAGCACGGCCAAAGACGACAGAATGAAATTGTTAAAATGGCAACCCGGGTGTCTTTATGATGTGGAGGTGAAAAGCATCAGTTATTTTGGGACGAACATGGAAGTCAAGAGTCAAGCAGTAAAGTTCACAATATATACAGGTAAAATACTCTTTTTCGAATCGTATATAAGTGGATGTAACATAATCGTATTTTAAATATAGACTCGTGCCTATATTTCCACCTATTTACAGTTCAAAATTTCATCTCAACATTGAACTACATTTATTGAGTAATGTGATATTAAAATGAAGTTGGATTGAGCTACCTATCACTGAGAGTCCATTAGTGCACAAATCCTAAATGTATATATGAACGTTCCTTGAGCGCTTATTATCGTTTGAGTAACGTATTAAACTTCTGATTAAAGCACACGAGCATATGAGTAATGTATGGGGAGCGTATTTCTGTTTTTTTTTTTAATATTTATGAAGTGCAAACTGGATCAAACCAAGCTTGTGTTACAAAATATATTCATATTATCTCTCGATCTCGGGCGGTTGTGATGAAAATGTACAAATTGAACTCTTATTTCACCACAAATGACAAAAAGAAGAGGACGCGTAGTCATACGGTAATCATGCGTTAGGTAAACGAACTCATGTTATTATTATTATTATTATTATTATTATTATTATTATTACCAAACTTGCAACCCGAGGGTTGGATAATTACAATCATTGCATCATAGTTGAATAAAACCGTTAGTAAGTAAGAATAAAGGAATATTAAAAGGCATTTGTAAACGAATTTTAAAACACAATATCTCAAATGCAAGGTTTAAAAAAGAAATACAAGTCTATCAGTTAATTCTGAAACTTGTATATGGCACTTGTTAAAAAGTCACTCATTGATCGATTGGTTTTGATTTTAGGTCTTTTGAATGTTTCCTGTTCCTTTAATGAATATTTGACATTTTGTTTTGGTTGTAAAAGATAGTGCAGTCTATGATCCGGTTCAATTGAAATACTAATAAATTTTTGCATGCATTGAGCCGTCTTTCACTCAGTAGTTCAAGTTTACTATGTTCACAAGCAGCGTCATATTCAAGATCAGGATAAATTATCTTAAGAGCTCTTTCTTGAGACTTTTCTACTAGTGTAGTCAATTCATTCGTTAACCCAAAGTGCCAGACAGGGGCAGCATATTTCAAAACTGGCCTTATGACCGTCTGGTAATAAGTTACCAGGTCATCAATTGTAAGGCCTGCACGCTTAAGGTGCTGAAGGAAATTAATCATTTTGCTTGCTTTTTTTAGTGATTTTGTCTACATGTACCTTCCATGTGAGGTCATTAGAGATATACACTCCAAGTAATTTAAATGATTCTACAAATTTAATATCTGTTTTGTCAATCACGAGCTTAGGGATATCTGCATTCTTGTGTTTAAATGATATGGCCATTTGTTTAGTTTTTTTCCTGTTTAATCGCATGTTGTTTGTCCTAGACCAGTCCAATGTTGTGTCAGCAACTGCCTGTAATTTGCTGTCATCGAATTGTCTAAGGATATCAGAAACTGTTGTGTCATCCATATACTTATGGCACAATAATTCACCAGGAGGTAGATGTAAGTCGTTTATCATCAGGACAAAGAGCAACGGGCGCAGCCATGATCCTTGAGGCACCGAGCCATTTATGCACTGCCACTCTGATCTGACTTGACCAGGTTTGACTCGCTGTTGTCTTTTAGTGAGGAAAGCGGCAATCCAGCGAACAATCACATTATGTAAGCCCATGGTTTTTAGTTTATTGATGAGCAAAGATATGTAAATAAACGGCCGTTATACGTTTATATACGTCTATCAATCGTAAGAGACATGTTCCTTCTAGTTAGTCAGTATTATACGCTACGTCAGTATCAAAACCTCGGTCACAACCGGACGCACGAAATTTAGGACCGTAATTTCTCTAACGAATTTTGGTCGCGGTGCAGGTCGTAGAGTCGTAGAGGTAGAAGAAAGGTTTCCATAGAAAGGCACAAGTCTACCTTGCGAGTCGCAGTGGCCACGTGAGATGTCCTTTCAAGCGGGGAGCTAATTGCAAGGAGCGATAAAATTGCACTCATTTCTTGAGTTTGTATTGCTTCGTGCGTACGTGGCACGCAGTCGCCACTTATACCCCCTTTACACTGGACGGCATCCTATCGCGTCCTTTCTGCGACCATGAAATTTGGCATCGCTGTGGTCTAAATAAGGAGGCACGAGCATTGATTTTGTATCAGAATGAATGCTCAATGATCGGCCAGTTGTCGGCACGTAAAGTATTATTATATTTTAACTCTCAGTTGGGGCCGTACTGCTGGACGCAGAAAGGACGCCGTTCAGTGTAAAGGGGGGCTTTACGAAGGGCATGCAGCGCACCGCGAAAGCCTTTCGGAGGCATATTAGAAGCTAAATTGAGCAAAAATTTGAAATTTCTTAAAACTGTTGTAAACGTTACACAATCGACGTTCATAGCAAAGACACGAGCGTGCGTCGGGAGCACGCCTTTTATACACCAGGCTCGGGGGTGACGCACGTGCAACGCATTCCTGTGCTTTCGACTTTGTTCGTTAACTGTTAGGACTACGCCTTAAAAAAACCTAGGTCCCAAATACGTTTTGGACGCACGGTTTTTAGGTTACTTGCGTCCGGCTAGGACCGAGCTAGATCTCACGTAGCGGTTGTTGATAATGTCGAAAAGTTTCTACGTGCTGTCTGCGTCCTTCCAAAAGTCGCACGATGGACGTGCTCCTCACGCACGAACTGCCACGTTTTCCCCATTTTTGGCCGTAGACCACACGTAGCAGCCCGTACGTTCGGTTGGGACCTAGGCTTTACTCAACACGCAAAGGGCACTTGCTCCTTGTTTGCTTGCGACGTGCGTCTTGTGCAACGCACGTCTCACTTGCTAACTCTTTGCTAACTCCTTGCTAGTGGAGCAAGTTACGCTTGCGGCCTCGCTGTTGGCAGGCTATTCGTAGAATCTTTTGGACATGTCCAATATTCTCCGCACGTGCTTACAGGCTGTCCGCGAACTCGAAATTTCATAAGAAGGACTTGCGCTGGACGTGAGATCATCAACTCACACCATAATCATGATCATCAACAAAATAGAAGTTCATCTGCGCTACCCATGTATTATTCATTCCCTCGTATAAGTCACTCATACTTACTCATATATACGTACTCATACGCTCATGTACGCTAATCAAACTCTCATATATACGCTATTTAAACGCTTGAATGCGGTTCTCATCCTTTACCCAAAAAATGATTATACGCTACGTTTACAATGACATACCATTACGATGGCAGACGCTTATACAGTGTGCCAGTCAAACGTTTTCAAACCTGTACAGTGTAAATGCGCTTTCAGTACGCATTTGTACTTGCATATTCTTTCTTCCTGCGTTCACGCTGGAAAAAGTGGGATTTGATACACTGCATGCTATACCAGCTAACACATAGCATTTCATAACGTCATCAAATGGTTTCATTCTGGTTATGGTACAAAACAATGATTGCTAACGTTATGTGTATTATTATTACATAAATAATGTCCCAGCTGACGAAAATGATTATAGTAACTTTCTAAAAAAGTTGTTGAAAAGATTAAAAAACTTTTTATATAAAACGTTACAATACTTTTATCCTGTAGAGTTTTAAAAAGACTTCTAAAGTTATAGAATAACATTACGATAAGGCGTTGAAAGTTTAATTAAAACTAAGAAAATGTATGATTACGTTAAAAAAGTTTCATAAAAAGATAAAAAATGTTTTCATTGAACATTTCAATAAAGTTATTTTGCGGATATTTTAAAACATTTTATTACGTCTTAAAACAACGTTATAATAACGCTGTAGAAGTTTTAAAAAACGTTTCTACAGCTCGTTATAATACAGTTATTTTGTGCATTTTAAAATATTTTTATAACTCTCTGGAATAACATTTTAATATTGTTTTGTAAACGTTTTATAACCAAGAAAACCGTTATGGTAACGTTAGGAAATGAACACCTGAAAAATGTATCCCTAAAAAGTTTTGCCAAGTTTGCATAATCACATTAAGAGAACATTTAAAAATGAAAAAAATATGTCCATATGGCCCTGTAAATACCAAGTATTTGTATATTTGAAAATATAATATATTCCTCATTTATTATCTGTTATCCTAGAACCTTGCCAGCACGTTCAATTAACGTCTATTAATTTTGGTGAAATTCAGAAGTAATTGGGCAGCGAGTGATTTACAACACCTACAAGTTATTCAGAATATAGTTTGTCACTTATTTAGTTAAAGAGTTATGATGATGTGATCTTCACTAATAAATAGATAAATATATAAATGAACAAAACCAGTATTCTATAAGATAAAGGTATCATAGTTATTTTATTGGTTATTAAAATGTTTTCAGAACATCATTGTAATGTGATTTCAGAACGTTATGAAACGTTAAAAAACAATAAAGAAGATTCGAACCAAATAATTATGTGTACATACTATTTACCTAATGCTGTAAGGTCACATGTTAAAAAGTTATTTCACATTTAAAACTGGCGGAACTCAATAATTAAATTATTCTGCCCCCCCCCCCCCCCCCCCCCCCCGAAAAAAAAAAAAAACTCCAAATACTGAGTGCTGCGTTTCTTTTTCCTCGAGTATATTTTGTTTATGTGTCACAGGATAGCTGGGTGAATAGGGCCATCGAAGTTTTAAAATTAAAATTGGAAACAAAGGTAACAGTTTGAAAACCCGTGTCTTTTATTCTGCCTTATCCTGTACATAAATTGTGATTGCAGCACCATCAAAACCAGTAGTCAATTACGAAGCGTCAACGAATAGCTTTAAATTGAGCTGGAACAGGATCAACGAACCAAGTGTGGACAAAATAACTGTGGCATATACGCAGGGAGATATTCGTCCACAGCGACAGACGATTAAGGATGTATCTGTCACTTCTTGGAGCATAAATAACCTCCAACCAGGCACTCCGTATCAAGCAGAGGTTTTTTTCCACTGTGGAGACAAAGCGAGTTCATGTGGTCTGATTGATATTACGACCGGTAAGTCGTTTATAATAACACCAACAAATACATGTACCTGAAGAAGAAAGGATGACTACACAGCTAAGCACATTCAAAACAAAAAACATCAGTCAAATCCTTCAGTGATATAACATTTTTTCACTATCCCAATGATTTTGGTTTATCTAAACCTGAATTTTCCCCAATTTTTCTCGGCATTTTAATTAGCATTACTGAGTGTTTGAGGTCCACATTAGAATATTTTTTCGCATCTGGTGAACTCTCAATTTTTCAACAAGAGGTGCAGATGTAGTACATGTAAAATTGCACAACCGACAACTGTATAGTTTTTTAATGCCAACAAATACATGCGCTGTATACATACAGATTTTTTGTATTTCTGTTCAGTACATATTTCGGTTTAGATGGTATTGCACTGGCAAGGTTCAAATCATACATGTCTGAACAGTCAGTCTCGATACGCAGATACAAATCACCATCAAGACCACATGCTTGAGGCATGCCAATAGGCTCTGTACTCGTCCCCATCCTGATCACTTTTTACACGTCACCAATCGAGAGCATTGTCTCTAAGTACGGTTTCAAACTAATGCTCTACGCAGATGACTCAAATTTATATTGTTTTCGTCAGGCCATCAGATGTGATACCATATATCCAGAAATGTATAAGTCAGTTGAGTCAATGGCTTACCGCCAACTCACTTGTTTTCAATGATGGTAAAACAGAAGTAGTTCACTTTATCTCTCGTACTTCTGTAAGATGCAGAAATATTAGAAATATTAGAAATCGACAACAGCATGGTCAACGGTAAAAAATAAAGTTAAAAACAATATTTGATAACAGGTGTGATATGGCCACCGACATCAGTAAAATGCAGAACTGCTTTCTATGGTCTTTAAAAAGTTCCCAAACTACAGTCTACTGTATGGTCTTCCTAAGTAACAAGTTGAAAACCTGCAACCTGTTCAAACTGCTGCATCACGACTACCGACCAAACCCATGTCAGATCAAACATTTCACCCATCTTATTCGAACTACATTGGTTTCCTGGAAAGATAATTATTTTTAAATTACTGTTGTGTATTTTAAATTCACCAGAGGTGAATGCCCTACATATTTTAACTCTATGCTACATCCAAATTCAGTCAATCTCACCAGGTTCACCAGATCCACCTCTACTCTTAGCTTTTACCAAGAATGAAAACAAAAAACATCAAAAACCTGCGGCCACAGGGCATTTTCAAATGCAGCTACCATTTTATGGAATGGACTACCTTCGCACATTCGGACTATAGATAGTGTTGAGGTTTCTAAAAAAATTGAAAACATTTGCACAGTACTTTTATTATTTTTGATACTTGAAATTGTATAATTTGTCATATATCATAAAAATTATTTAAACTACTACTATTTTAACCAGAAATCAATTATTTTAACTGTTTTATTCACCTCAGCTTTTATATTTAGACAATTAATTGTAATTCTTTTATTATTATTATTTTTATTTTATTTTATTTTATTTTATTTATTTTTTTATTTATTTTTTTTTTAATTTTTTATTTATTTATTTTTTTATTTATTTATTTATTTTTTTTTTTTTTTTTTGTAAACAGCACTGAGACAAAAGTATAGTGCGGTTTTAGGAAATTATTATTATTATTATTATTATTGTGCAAATGTTCTTGCAGATCCTGTCCCGCCAGAAACATTTTATACTACGTCTGTGTCTACTTCAACAGCCAACATAGAATGGAGCAAGCCGAATGGCCAGTATGACCACATGGTTGTCACTTTCAATGACTTGACTTCTAAAAAAACATCTGAAAAACAAATAAAAGAACTCAAGCATCGTTGCACTAATCTTCACCCTGCCTCTTGGTACCGTTTGTCCGTTGTGACAGTAAAAGGATCAAAGAGAAGTGCAATAAAGTCTTACGATTTCTGCACAGGTATATACAAAATATACATTTGAAATTTTAACCGTATTTCAGTGGCAATTCACTATCTGGTTATTTGTCAACGTGTGCTGTATACATGCATATGTACATTTGAAAAATGCATGGAGATTGGCAACGGGAAATTGTCAAGTCAATATATATTTCAACTATAAATGTTTGGTAGATTAAGCAAGTCAAAATCAAGGAACTGAAAATTGATATTTTGAATTAAAAGAATTGAGCAGTTGTAAATGTTTTTTTTTTTCATTCACAACTATTGCATTATGTTAAATAAAATATTAAAGACTATAGCAAGGTTGAAGTAACTTTTAAGTAAAATCTATATAAAATCTATATGAAGGTGACATGTTTGTCGCTATTGGTTGTTAAGATTTTATCCTTGTGATGCTATATTTTCGGGGAGGTGCATCTTAATTAATAGGTGGATGTTGCTAATTTGGGATAACTTTGTTATTGTTCATTCATTTACAGCTCCTTTGCCCCCCAAGGACATTTCCATCAATCCTCAAGCGCATACTGCAAACATACAATGGGGGTATCCAAACAAACGTAGAGACGACGGCATCAGATTCGAAATCAAGTATTGGGAAGTGGATAGTAACGGGTGTGAAAAAACGGTATTTTCTGAAACCTTGCAGACAACACTTGAGTCATTAACTCCAGGGTCACAGTACTTGGTACAAGTAAGGGCTGTCTTTCATGGAACAAAGAATGAAGCTTTCAAGGGGAAATCGTTTATTACAGGTTATTGTCAAGCAAGTTTTGCACTATTTAGAAATGCTAGCAGGTAGCAAGATGTATCCATGTATTTGTATTTCAGTGCGTTTGTTTTATTTTGATAGTCAATGGGTTTGTTGTTTTACAATTAATGTACTCCGTATGTGATTAGACTGGGTGGCAAAGAAAGGACCTCGTTTATTTGTAGACTAAGGCAGTGTACGGTACTACCAGTAAAATAATGTAGTTTCGTCAACTAACAACAGAACTCGAGTTGGCACAATCTGAGTTATGTTGTTTATTAAGAAACTATTATTAAAACGCTGATTGCGTAACTCGCCTGGGTGTATTTTAACCAGGGTAAAGTGAGATGCCATTTTGGTTACTTATTATGAACACAGTAGGGCCTACTTTTTTATCCAGAACCACCCAGTGTAACCGATGTACACGTGGAAGGATTCACCAACTACGCCGATGTGTCCTGGAGACCGCCTGTTCAGGGAACTGTTAAGGGTTATGATGTCGCATTTTGGCCGGCTGACAACCCATCAGCAAAGCGAAAGACCAAGGTCAAAGCTCCTGCAGACAGGGGATCAATTGAAGGCCTTAAAAGAGGGACCAAGTACATTGTGGTTGTGAAATCTGTTGTCGAAGGGCTCAAAAATCAGGGTGCAGATGAAAAAGCGTTCTACACAGGTGAGAGAGAGGGAGAGTTGGGTTCATATATTAATACCCCTTAACGTGTGCCGTGCTATATTTGCATGTCAAGTTCTGGTATGCGGGTTTATTTTGCCGAGCGCCCCTTCCTCCAACACACGTCAGGGGAAAAGTAACTCGTGTTTAATGCAAACGAATCTGACGATATGGTCGGCATTTCTGCCGATTTCTAAAAACCAATATTACAAAAGTTATGTGTAAGGTGATGGCTCCATCCACTAAGACCTGGCAAATCAAATCAATGTGAATATGTTACATACCATCAATCAGAATTTTAAATACTGCTGCCCTTAGATTAGATTTTGCAGCGGCCATTTACACTACAATTTAGGGGCGGTGTAACGAAACTGAGGGTCCATGTGACGGAAAGTCCGACCTCCATTTAGTTATAATGGTTAGGGTTAGCCTGACCTACCTGTAAGTGGGTCAAAATCGAGGGCGAGGCTTACCTCTACAAATGAATGGGGGTCGGACTCCCTTTCCCGTTACACTAGTAATGTTAACAATCGACAATTGCAGATTTCTCATAAATTCTGTTCTAAACTTGGCAACCCATGATAACACATAAGTGCACACAGCTTGGTGACGCGTTATTCCAGTAACATATCCCGCCGGCAATGGAGATTACCAAACGTTTGATTGAAAAAATAGAAACATACATATATTAAAACCATGCTGCGAATGTAATGAATTATGTCAATGTACAGGGGTAAACCAGCTTACTGTCAGGCGTAGGGCATGGTTGTATAAATACCCCTCATTATATGTTATGAAATAATAGCACGTCGATCTTACATGCATGCATCAATTTAGTATTGTCGGTATTGATTAAATTTGACAGTAAAATATTGATCTCTCACTTTAGTAAGTTGTTGTATTCAACAAGAAATTTAAACTCATAAAGTCAAGTCTAATGTGCTCCTATCTATCCTAGTTCCCTCACAGCCGTCTATGGGTAACATTGATACTTCACCTGTTTCAATCACTTTGAAATGGAGTAGAAAGAAAGATGAGCCAAATGTGACCGAAGCAATAGTCACATATTGGCAACCTGGATCGACACAGCAAACAAAACGTGTATCCACCAGAGACCCCCAGCAGTTGCTTATATATCCGCTGAAACCCAACACATGCATTGAAGGTTATGTTGAACTGGTGTGCGGTGATAAAACAAGCAACAAGACACATTGGTCTGCGACGACAGGTATGGCATTGAAGGGGATGATGTAAGAATTCAATTATGTTATAACGAAATAACCCCTTAGCAAAGTATTTAGTTTGCTGCGAACTAAATAGTTCGCAAGTAACTTTCTGTAGGTGGCCGCAAGAAGAATTATAGTTGCTGCAATTATAGAGGAAGATCTAACGTTTGCAGGAAGATTGCAAAAAAGTCATCAGACCTAAAATTTTCTAATTCGAATTTTTTACTTTATTCATGTTTAGTACAGTTTTATTGCATAATACGCTTATTTTCCTTAAAATAGTTTATCTGTACTTATTGTCTGGTTGGTGCTAAATAACATGTGCCATATCTTTTCTAATTCTGATTGTTCTTAAACCCAAACTAAATCTGTTTGGTAAATTATCAGTTTTGAAATAATGTTGTTCTCAGAGCCCATAAAAACTGGAGAGATCCATGTTGGTGGTATAACCGAATCTACGGCACAATTGTCTTGGGCAAAAATCGATACTGTAGGAACCGTACAGTACTGCGTTTACTACAAAGATAAGTCATCAACATCGTCGAAGTGGTTAAAAGAAACCATAAATGTACCCAGCCTTAATCTAACAGACTTGACACCTGGCACAGAATACACAGTGATTGTATTAGTTGTGGTAGACGATTATGATTCTGGAAAAGGGACCACTGTGGAATTCACTACACGTAAGTGTTTAGATCCCAGTAGTAAGTTAAAAGTTATTTATTTCATTACTTTAGGCCAGTAGGCCAAAAGAACATTTTTTGACATTTTGCAAGAACAGTTATAATATGCTTAAAAAACATCTGCTTTTCTAAGCGTTCCCTAACTTATTTTGAGCAGTGTACATCGGCATTTTTACAATATTCAAATCGTGATTTGAAATTCGGAATTCGGACATACACCGGCTGTGCTTGGCTACTTTTACTAGTGATATGTAGTTCTTGTATGTTAATTCCGTTTTGGAAGTATTGCATTACTGAAGTTTTCTTGATGCTGGACCATTCTGCTCCAGTTCTGTCAAAAGTTATCTAGTTCAGTGCAATGACCTTTTCAAAATGTCCACATGCTTGTCTTTCCCATAACTAGCGAAATAAATGGAAGTAAAACTTGTGTTTAATTTCACAGATTTTCTCCAATTTCTGTCTAGATTTTGCAACATGTTGTAACAGGCCTTTGGCAGTCTATCACTGCTCGTGTACAGTGATCTTATCAAAAATTTAACACACTTAACAAAACATACAACATTATTGGAAACTCACTGCATTCTCCTAGTATTGCTACCGCACTCACACTCTCATAAAACATGTAAGTTCGTTTGTGCAAACTCAAATTAATTGGGATCAGGTATCCCCAGATTACTGCCTCATGTTACAATCGGTTTAATCATTGTGTCAAACATTTGGAATGATGCAGAACGTGGTAAAAAAACACAACTGGTTACACAGCTTGTTGAACATTGCCAGTTCCCTTCGAGACTGTAGTACCAGTGTATATTTTGCTTTAGTCTTTGCTGTTTTGGTGTAAACACAATCCCTAGGTATTTACAGTATATTGAGTATCTACCTTAACGCCAACAAAGTACAATTTATCATTGTGTCTTAGAGTTCAGCCATATCTAAGGACAATTAATTTTTATTTTTTATTTTTATCCGCTATCACCCTCAATTTCCATTGTTGGCAAAACTGGAACAAACGGTCTGCCAGCTTTTGTAGGTTGTATACTACATCCCAAATGTTTGATAGATCTGTAAAGAAAAAATCTGTTCCAGCATAAAATAGTGATGTAGCATTATGAAATCCATTATCAATGAAGATCCCTTTAACCATAGTTTCTTCACATCAGGGGTAATTGTACATGTTTTATACTTGCAGAAAAGAAAGGGGCTAGTCATGCAGCCCTGTTGAGTACCAACTTCACAATTAAATGTAGTTATCGGTATTCGGCATTTTTCATGAACGATTTCTAGTCATCAATCCCTTTATCATTTTCACTTGCATTCCTATTGAACACATTTTGTGCCATATATATATTCATTGATACAGACAAACTCCTTATGGAAATTTATGTATTTTCAATGAAATCTCCCATTTCCTTTTGATAAATATTTCTGATTCAAGGTTGTAAAGAAAAAATCTGTTCCAGTGTAGAATACCTCTTCCTAAACCCTTTTTGAGGGTTTCGTCTTTATCTGCCCACCCCAGTAAGTCTATTGTTCAGTTCCTTTGTAAGTATAGTTCCAAATGAACTAAGTAATTAAGGGAATATCATGGTAATTGTCTGTCTCTCTTGGACTACCTTTCTTGCCTAAATGGTATATTAATACATCCATTGATGTAAATTCACAAATAGCGGTAGCTGTTCATATTCCTCAATCATATTGTCGGTTACCTCAGCCTCGTAGTTTTGATTTAAAACATTCAGCCTTTGTAATATCCCATTTTGATATTTTTCCCTCTACTACTGCACCCATCTGTTCTGAGAGCTCATCCACGTTTTACATTTTACCATACATAATAATGGGAAATTAGTTGAAACCCTTGGCGAAGAACCTGGTCATATAGTATAACTTATGTGGATAACTTTGAGCTTACCAAGATGTACAATAGCAGCATCGTTATTCGTTACACAGGTGTAGTCCGGCAAACACAGAACGTTTTATAACGTTACCATAACGTGGCCATGTCGTTTTTTTGGTAAAATTAACGTTATGATAACGTTATAATAACGTTATGTCTTTGCTGGGAGTTCCCCTCCTTACATCACCTATTATACCATTCAGAAAGTGCACACTACACACAGGAGTAAATTATCTAGCAGTGTATGTACAGATACGATAGTGATGTTCCAGCACTGCATGTGTAGAATATAAATATAAAACGTGTTATTTAATTATCACGATGCAGTTGCTTTTTCCTGTTTGCAGTGTTATGCGATATAATAGTTCTGTCGTAATTTGGGGAACACATATCTTTTCACTGCTACAGGGCCAGTCAAACCCACAGGCTTGAAGCTTATGAATCAACTATCTGCAAAATCAGCCACCATACAGTGGGAGCGTCCTGCATGCCACGTAGATCACTACCGGCTTGAATACAAAACAGATAAAGGGAAGCCAGTGATTGGCAACATACCTGACACGGAATCGAGCCGTGCATTAACTGGTCTTATCCCTGGAACTAAGTATAATGTCTCACTATGCTGCATACGCCACAAAACAGAAAGTGAGAAATGCACGTTCACATTTACAACAGGTATGATGCAGTTATAATATGCATATTTAATTCCAAAAAAGACATGCATCTTTTTTATTTAATTAATTATTTATTATTTGATTAATTCTGAAATTACAGTTGCTCATATAATATGTATACATGTGAGGCGGAAGGATGTACAGATGGACTATCAAGCATTTTGGCGAGATAGATTTTAATTGCACGTTTATGGTATTGCTTTTTTATTTGACCAATTAAAGCACCTGATGTGCCTGTCATCGAACCCCAGCCTGGAAGTACCTCCATATTGTTGTCTTGGAGCCAGTTTAAGGGAAATGCCGATAGTTTTGAGATCACTTGTCAAAATCAAGACAACGAAGAAGAAAAACAAAGTGTGAAACTTCATGGCGAAATGCGCAAACATACATTTAAAGATCTTTCTGAAAATTCAAAGTACGCCGGGGAAATTTGGGTAAACCTTGAATCCCATAGAAGCAAACCATATGAATGGGAGAGTTTGACTTCTTCTAAACCGGCTGCAGGTAAACTAAATAATATATTTTGATCTAATTTATTCAGCTCATTTGCTTCTGATATTTATCATATCTAGCAAATGAAGGTGATGTCGCTGTTTTACTTTTGTTTCAACATTTTAATGGTTTGCATACAATCAACGCAATATGAATTTACTGAAAGTTACAGTTATTACCACACCAATATTTCAATACCACAAAGAAGAACTTCGTCAAGTGTTAAAGAGGCAACAAGTGTTAGAGTATCCCTACCCTACTTACTGCAGTTACCCCCTCTTACTTTGCTTACGTAGAAATTACATAAAAAAAGGAGAGCGTCTGCATTGTTTCTTTAGAGACTTAAAAAATTTTATATAATGTATGTATGCATAGCCTGGGGGACTTAATCAGTGGCTGATTTAGAGGGGGTAGGGGGGGCCTGACACCCCCCCCCCCTTCCATCGATTTCTTGTCCTCTCTTGAAATTAGAATTTTGACCAGCTGAATCATAGTTCCTAACTGTACCAAATGGCATCGTTCGCCCTCTACGATACCAATTTTTTCGGGGCCCTTCAGCGGGCCTATAACCTCACGCTAAGTGAGGGGGGCTTTGCATCCGCAGACCCCCGCCCTTTAAATAGTCCTGGATCCACCCCTGAAAATGGTGCTGTTTTTTGCATTTTCGATTTTTTCGCCGATGTCGTGATAATTGTCCCTGTTTTCCGTTTATTTTTGTTTTGTTGTCCTTTCCACTGTAGATCTTACCTTCAATATTATTGCTTGACTGGACCCGTTACAACTACATAATACACCTCGCCTCTCGCATTTCATTTCATATGTTACTCCATTTATGCTTCTTGGACTCGCATATGTTACTCCATATAAGGTATGAGGACTCGCAAGAGCATATCCCTAAGACATTGAAGTACTGGAATGGCAGTAAATCCAATAGAATTAGCTGGCGTTTGAAAAATATATAATTATAACTGTACCTGCATACCACAACTGTTGCAATTATGAGCTTAGTGATGGATATTTTTGTTAGTGAATTGTTTCAGTGTTTTATATTATATTAAATCTCTTCAGGTTCGCAACCAATTGCGACAGTAGCAAGGTCAGAAGGGGTATGTGTATAATTTTCCCGCTCATAAACGTCAGTCTAGTCATGTTATCTTTTATTTTGACTAAACAACGTGTTACTTCAAAGTAGTCCGTCTTCTCTCCTACAGTACTGTCACTGTATTCACTACATAAACATGTCTGTTATTAACTATTTGCAATTTTTGGTTGTTATTTTTCAACGATTTGGTACTATTGTTGTTTGTGTGTGTTTAATATTTGAAGGAATTTTTATCATTCTTGTTGTGCAATTAATTACTTGGACGTTTACATGTATGTCATTTTCTTTTCAAGTACATATCATTCAGTCTTAAATTAGTCCAAAAAGAGAGCAAAGCCCCAGAAGGTGCAGTGAGTGGGGCAAGTGATTCAGTGTGCCTGGTAGTTACAGCAATAAGCGCGAGGGACCTTCAAATCATTGGACAGACAAGTAAATCTAATAATTATTGCTCGGGGTAAGTACGTGAATGTTAAATTTTCATTTCGAATGCAGACCAGTGTATATAGAGCCGCCAAAAATAAACATACATATAATATGTATTCACAAGAACGCCAAATTTCCATCCATTTAAAGACAACCATACGGTTGTATTAAATATATATCAAAGTATTAGATATACATAAAACAGGGATGCTAGTCTTCCGGTTTTTACCGGAATTCCGGTTTTTTGCGTCCAGTTATAAAATTTTCTGGTACTATATTTTGTTCCGGAATTCTCGTTTTTAACGTGGTCGCGGACTGGACGAACGATGCGTCAGAGGAACGTCGCATTTCAACCATTGCGACAGAGCTGCGTTTCAACACAATATCTAGTCACAACCGTAGCACGTGATTTATTTATGGCGCTTGATTGGTTGGAAATGTAGGCTTTAATGTCGGCACCCATGTGGAAAGTTTTGACACCGCGTGCGCGGAATTTTGAACTAAACCAAACTAAATGGATTTCGCGGAGAGGGGAACAGACGATATTAG